GATAAAAAAGTAATATTGATAATATTAGTAAAAAAAAATAATGATAATGATAATTATGATTATAATGATAACAGAATAATAATGATAATAATAATAATAATTAATAATAATAATAATACTAATAATAATAATAATATTAATAATAATAATAATAATAATAATAATGGTAATAATAATAACAATAATAATAATAATAATAATAATAACAACAACAACAATAATAAAAAGGATAATATAAGATAATACTTATAATAATAATGTCAATAATATTAATGATGATAAAAAAGTAATATTGATAATATTAGTAAAAAATAAATAAATAATGATAATGATAATTATAATTATAATAATAACAGAATAATAATGATAATAAAAGTAATAGTAATAGTAATACTACTACTAATGATAATAATAACAAAAAATAATAAAAGTAATACTGAGAATAACAGTAATAACAGTAATAATAAAAACAACAATAATAAAAAGGATAATATTAATAATAATAATAATAATGATGATAATAATAATAACAATAACAATAACAATAACAATAATAATAATAATAATAATAATAATAATAATAATAATAATAATAATAATAATAATGGTAATAATAATAATAATAATAACAACAACAACAACAACAACAACAACAACAACAACAACAACAACAACAACAACAACAACAACAACAACAACAACAATAATAATAGTAATAATTGACTGTATGGGATAGCATGAGTCAGTGGGTCCCAAAGTGTGGACCGACGATATTGTTTTAGGTTCACAAGAGACTGTTTAATGACTGAGAAATAAAGGAAAAGGGTCTGTTTACTTTACAAAGGGTATATTTTGCTGGTAGTCTAGTTGGGAGCTTTGGTTTCAGGTGTGGCTGTTGTGGATGAGCCGTGAAGAAGGTCGAGTTGTTCTCTTGGGCTTTATATATCTATTCCTGTATAAGTGATGTGGCTGAAATTTTTCAGTGAATTAATAAATATTCCTGTATAATGTTTTTTTTTTAGGGTACTATCAGCAGTAGAGAAATGCGTAAGGCTGTATTAGAGCATCTACCCGCCTCTTATGACTAAGAGTAACTGTCCAAGCATTGCACACGCACGTATTACAGCCAGCACTGCCTCTCATTGCTCACCCTCCCCTCCTCCGCAGATCAAGAAGGCTTTCCACAAGTCGGAGTCGAAGAAGGAGTTCAGCGTCGTGACCAACCTGTCCACCATGGCGGTGTGCGCTACGTCGCCGCTGCTGCCCACCGCCGTATCCTCTCAGGACCTCAAGCCCCACCAGGTGGTCGTGCCGCACGTCCAGGTAAGACGGCAGCCGTAGGGTCTCGTGCCCTGCTAGCGAGTAGGTCTTTAGGCCAGACTGGCTAGCAACAGGGAGCCGTAAGCCTAGGCGAGTCGTATAGCACCTGTTGTCCAGGTGAATCAGCAGGTGGCGTCGCACAGCTAGGTGAGGCAACAGATAGGCCGCAGGTGAAGGGCTTCATGTCAAGGCAAATCTTGTCAATAAATGCGCACTGTCTATTTCCTGTGTCCAAATCGCCACTGCATTTCTCTGACAAAATCAATATTTCCGTAATCTACCAACAGTTGTGCGTCAAAGAGGAAGGACCAAATGTTCAAATTATTAATTGGATATTAGGTGATAGGTATTCAGGCAGGGGTTGGTGAAAACAAGCCAGATAATAGAAGATATTTACATGCATGTACATGTGCTCATGATTGTATAACAATATTACATTATCATCTTTGAGTTCCATATCACAAAAGCTGTGCCCCTCATCTATTTCGTTTGATTTATGGATATCAGTAGCATATATTTTTTTCCATCTTTCCTTTCCTTCTATGTATCTTATTGTATTATACATGGAATCTCAAGATTAATTTTGAGTAAGGATGCCTTTTCACTTGATTGCCAAAATTGGGGATTTAGCCATAAATGCACAGCCCTAATAGGTGGTCATTTATCTATCACCGAACATGGGTTTTCGTAACTATTATTTTGATATGACGACGAAGCCAGATGTAAACGCGTACCATGAAAACGGGGACAGATGTCTTCCCCAACGCGCAAACGGCCCTCGCACTTCGCGGCCTCACTGCCCTTTTCCCCACAGGTCACGGAGGTTAAGGTGCCGGACTGCTACGAAGACCCCGAGGACGCCCTTAGCAGACTGCCGCCGTCGCCGCCGCCTCCGCTGCCTGCAGAGGAAGCCGCATCCACCACTAAGTCCTCCAAGAAATCCTCCAAGTCAGCCTCCGCCTCCGGGTCGTCCTCCACCGCGAAAAGCCCCTCCTCGCCTTCGTCGGCGACCCCTGCCGCAGGCTCTTCGGCAGCGGAGGGGGCGGCGCCTCCCGAGGAAGCCGCGAAGGAGGCGCCGACGGACAGCAAGACCAACGGGACGGCGAAGACGATCGTATCTTCGAGTAAACTCCCTTTCTCGAGTACCAAAAAGAGAAAGTAAATTGGTTTTTCTACTCTTTAACACTAGTTTAGTCAGGGATTAAGAAGAATATTCTCACAGGCTGCCTTGCGGCCCATCCCGCTGCCTCTCAGCAGCGCCCCGCGGGAGTGAGCGTCGCACGACTCCTCAGATTTCTCATCGTGACCCGACACTTCTCGTGATAATATGACAGAAAGAGATGTGCCAGCAGCCTTTGCGACACGCCCCCCCCCCTTATGTCGTGCATGCGACTTAACGACTCGGACGTAGGGACAACCTCTTCCCTGATATCCTCATAGGACATGATATATATATACACTTTAATTTAAGTTCGTTCTTCTCTATAGTGGTGTTTATACAAACTTTTTTCCTTGTTATTTTTGGACTTGCCTCATCGGAGTTTATGTCGTTATGTCTAAGTCTCTTTGGCATGAGTTTGGATATAATTGTATTTTCCATAATATATACCCCTTGAGATAAATAATATTTATAATATACCGACTATACATTAATGTATGAAAAGATAAGGATGTCTCCTTTTAAAGCAGTTGAATCTGCAATATCACGCATTTCCAACCTCTATAATAAGTGAATTTAAAGTAAATAGTTTTGGGAAATATTACCTTCATAAAAAAAACGTCGATTTTATGCGAAGACAACATAACTATTCGCCAAACGTTCAATTAAGTTATAATAGTCAGTGCTGAACTATGCCTGACCGTTTTCTGTGGAAGGTTTGGTACTTACCCATTTTCTGAAATAAGCTTTTCCATTTTCTAATTCCGAGCTAAAACTCCTCGTCATGTCGAATATATTTACCGGTTCACGACCAGGCGTATTCTACTAACTTCGTATCTCAGCCTCGTTGTATATAGGAATGAAGATCGTTATATGTTTGTCAGAATGTATTTAACTCCGCATAGCTATATATCTATAGGTTATAAACATATGACCAAATACATCAGACTGGTTGATGCTCTAGTCCACGTGGTACTAACTCTCTTTTCCTTTATTAACGTTCTGGATATTTTATATGTATACAGATATATATATATATGTACTCTTAAGAATGTGAATATAATAGAAGCAATACCGTGTCTTCAAGAAAGGTTTAAAAAGTGAAAGAAATTCTCCCTCGATCCCTTTTGGTCAGCGCATAGTCAGTCTGTTTTGTGTTGCTTGTCTTTCCCTTTCTTTTCTTGCTTTCTCTTTTTCCTTTCTTTTCTTTAAGGATATAAAAAATAGTCTAGTATTTATTTTCTTATTTACTATTTTTTTTTATCTCTCTCTCTCTTTCTCCTCTTCGTATTCTTGTTTAGAACCTTTTGTTTGCAATCAGGATATGCACATTTTACTGAAATCGGAAAAATCTGGACTAAAAATATCGAATTTTGCGCATCGTAGCCCCCAAACACGACGTACTTGCGATGAACCCCCTCCCTATATGACCCAAACACACAGGTGATTGAACCCGTACTTAAACAACTTCACACGTGTATATCTCCCCAACTTTAAACAGAACTCGACTCCTGAGGTTGTGGCATGTTACTTCACTGCTCGGAATACAGAGGTTTTGCTTTGAAATTGTGGATGGGGCAGAAGCCTTTTGTGTTCTGCTATAGACAGTTTGTGGCAAAGATGGGTATGATATTTGATCTATGCTGCGTTGGCAAGGCTTGTGTGATAAAAGAGAGGGTATAGTTTGTGAAAAAAGTATGTAGAAGTGAGGCGCAAATATTTTGCAAAAGGTACCCTACTTTCTGAAAAAAACTCTAGGAATGTCTTAACTAATACTAAACGTGTACTTGACATGTTGCGTTAATGAAAAGGAGACGAAGTAATATTACCTACAAGAAAGCGAGTCACACTGTTATCACCTCACTCACCTTACCTTTGGCCTTATATGCGGCGCAGACGTGAAATTTCTTCATCGGAAAATATATTTCATCGGTGAAAAAAACCCAAGCGCTTCCATGATTTGTAAGACGTGCCTGTTTCATGGGCCAATTTCCCCCCCACAGATTTTTACCTAATAATAGTAGGAAAAAGGCGCCGATCATTTAGTATGGTAGACCTCCCCCTCCCCCCCCCACAGGACCTCTTAGTTTGATCATGTATATAGAGAATTTCCACCCAATTACATGTTTGAACATTTAGCCAGAACTGTGAACCGATACAAAGTAGATTCAAGTTTTAGACTGGAATAAATAGGTATCAAGTCTAAGGTATTTTGTGCCGAAGACTTTAGGCAAACAGACGTGAGCAATTTTCCGACTGTACAGACCTTTGAACACTGGTACAATAAGACACAAAGACATGTGGCTGTGATTGCCGTGATGCGGGCCTAGACATATCACCGAACATTAGGTTCTGCTCCAACGAGGCTTTGTAATTTGGTCTTTTGGTCTTACGTTGACAGGAGTTGCAGCGCAGTCATGATAGCTTGGTTCTCTCGCGGTCCTCGGAGACTGGTCATCAAGGTACTTGGTTTGTTCTTATGATACCAATGTGTAATGCCTTACTGAAGTGATTACGTATA